CTGACCACATTGTATGCAGCAATGATGTACTGTAAAAATAAATTGGTATAATGATTGATTTTTTATAACTGCCCAGTCCCATAATTAAACTTATTTTCTACCCTAAAAAAAGAGAGATTAAAAACGTGTGTGTGTGTGTGTGTGTGTGTGTGTGTGTGTGTATATACAGTGCCTCAGGGCATTAGATCCTCTTGAGCTGGAGTCGAAGATGGTTGTGAGATGTATAACTGGGAACCAAACTCAGGTCCTTTGGAAAATCAGCAAGTGCTCTTAAACACTGAGCCAACTCTCTAGGCACCAAAGTGGATGCTTTTGAAAACCAACAGAGGACAGAGCCAGCTTCTTGGTGAGTTTATGAACCAAATAACCAGGAATACTGAAAGCTTTTCCCCCAACCCTTGGCCAGCCAGCTCTAAGTTGCAGCATGCCCACCACTAGCCAGGAAAGCTCACCTTGACCTCGATGAAGTCAGGGTTCCCCAAGGACACCAACTCAGCATAGGCCTGGAGTTCTTCCACATTCCAACACTTCACAAGTGTCAGTCGGTAGACTGTTCGCTGTTGCTGAAACAGGGAAAACAACTTGGTTTAAAACTGAGCCAAAGTTCCAGATTCACTCAACAACCTTGACCTACAGACAACACAGGTCAGGTGGAGCCCCTGTGGACGTCTACAAACTGAAGTTACTTTTCAAAAGAAGATGGGTTGCTCAGCTAGCTCAATTGGTAGAGCACAAGACTCTTCAAAAGATTTTTATTTTTCATTGGTTACGTGTATGAGTGTGTCTGTGTATGGGTTTGTGTACATGAGTGTAGTTCCTTCGGAGGTCAGTAGAGGGCATCAGACCCACCCCTGCAATTTTGGTGCCAAGAATAGAACCTGGGTCCTTAGGAAGAGCAGCAAGTGCCTCACCCACTGAGTCACCTCTCCAGCCCCTGAAATTACATTTTGCAGACAGACAGAAAACATCAGTGATAGAAAGATTCTCATACACCTTACAAAAGCACAAATTGCTAGCACATGTCTTCTTCACGCCCTCACACCATGCCCAGTATCTACAACCATGTTA